TGAAGGACGCTACTGGGCAGTTGGAGGCAGTCGCCCTCCAACAACAACGGAGGGCGGAGGAGCGACGCTCACAACAACGAGCGGAGCGCCGGGTGGCTAAAGCACAGCAAGTTGGTACAGTAGGGGGCACAGGTGGTGCATCAGCCAGTCATCTCGGTCATCTCGGTCAGTCGACCCGTGGCACCTGGGTCTGCCCCGTGACCACCTGCCAGCGGGCGTTCGACACTTCACGTGGCCTCAAGGTGCACATGGCCTGGCACAAGCGTCGTGGTGACGTCACCGCCACTTAGTGGCGAATGGTGGTTGTTGTTGTTATGTACGTGTGTGTGTCGTGTACGTGTGTACGTGCGTGTGTACGTGCGTGTGTGTACGTGCGTGTGTACGTGCGTGTGTACGTGTGTACATGCGTGTGTACGTGTGTACGTGCGTGTGTGGTGTGTGTGTACGTGTGTGTGTACGTGTGGTGTGTGTGTGTACGTGCGTGTGCGTGTGTACGTGTGTACGTGTGTGTACGTGCGTGCGTACGCGTGTGTACGTGCGTGTGTACGCGTGAGTTTCGATTCCCGCCCACAGGCCACCGACACCAGCAGTGACGATTCTCCGAACCGGTCCTGGCCTCCCCCTAGGTTGACCCAGCCTCAACGAGCCCCCGGCATCGTCCACCGGGGCAGACGGAGCCGGGGCCACCCCGACGGTCCGTCGAGAGGCTACCGGGGCCCCCCCCCCCTTGTCGTTGTAGAACTTGTCTGCGGCGAGCGAGGGGGGCCCCAGCTACGTGACGGTGGGGGTGCCACCCTCTCCAAGGCCCCCGCGCCGCTTCTGCGCTGTGTGCGGCTTCCCGGCGGCGTACACGTGCGTGTCGTGCGGGGCGCGGTGCTGCTGTGTGCGGTGCCTAGCGGTGCACCACGACACAAGGTACACACACACGTACACGTACACACACACACACGTACACACACACACGTACACGTACACACACGTACACACACGTACACACACACGTACACGTGCGTGTCGTGCGGGGCGCGGTGCTGCTGCGTGCGGTGCCTCGCGGTGCACCACGACAGAAGGTACACACACACACACACGTACACACACACACACGTACACACACACACGTACACGTGCGTGTCGTGCGGGGCGCGCTGCTGCTGCGTGCGCTGCCTCGCGGTGCACCACGACACGCGGTACACACGCGCTGACACACACACGCACGTACACGCGCTGACACACGCAGACACACGCGGACACACACGGACACACACGTACACATGCACACACCAACAACCGCCATTTGCCACTAAGTGGCGGTGACGTCTCCACGACGCTTGTGCCAGGCAATGTGCACCTTGAGGCCACGTGAAGTGTCGAACGCCCGCTGGCAGGTCACGGGGCAGACCCAGCAGGTGCCACGGGTCAACTGAGACGACTGGCAGACACACCAACGTACACACGCGTAGACTCGCACACGCGCGTACACACACACGCGTCACCCCTACCTGCTCATTGGTGTTGTTTTTGCCGCGTTGTTGGCGTGTTTCTAATGCGTGCGCGTGTGCCTTCGTGCGTTCGCAGGTGCCTGAAGTGGACAGTTTGAAGCGTGCGCCGTGCGTAGACTTGCCGGCGAAAAGCGGCGAGACTGAGCCACGGAGGAAGAGGCTGTAGCAGAGGTCGCAAACGGGTTTTGATTCCTTACCCGTACCCGTACCTGGCCACACCAGGGTCGCAAATGGGTACCCGTACCCGGCTGGGTACGGGTACCCGTTCCCTACCCCGTACCCTACCCGAAATGAGTGACAAACGGTGACTCACCAGTGACTCACGGCCTACCCGTACCCGTACCCGGCCGCACCAGGGTCGCAAACGGGTACCCGTACCCGGCTGGGTACGGGTAACCGGGTATCGGGTAGGGTACCGGTATCGGGTACCCGGTTGCGACCTCTGGGCTGTAGCTCTGGTGTGGGCCCGCGCTGTGCATCGCTATCGAAGCGTGTGTTTGTTTGAATTTGTCGAGCAGTGCCGGATTATCCGAGAAGCAAAAGTAGCAAACGTAGCGACGGGTGAGTCCTGCACTTTCAAGGGCCCCGCGCTGAACGCTGTCAAGCGATCAATTCCGGTTCAGCGATTCTGCACTTGCTCTAGCACTATAGTACTATACCGCCTTCAAATGAAGAAATACAATAGCTTTACTATCCAGGCTGTGGAGGCCGCTGAACGATCTTACAGGAACATGCTAATTTCTACTTGGCAGCGCTCCGATTGGTGGGAAACCCACCGCCGTCACGGTCGCTGCCCGCCACCAACATTTTCATTGGCTGCCGACATTTGGGCTACGCCCATTTCAAGCCTTTATCAGCAGTTGGCACCTGCTGAGTCTTTCCCGTGTTAGCCTGCACCTAGCCTGGCACAGCAGTCAACCCACGGCACCTGCGTCCGTCCGTGACCTGCCTCAAAGGTGCACCTAGCCTGGCACAAGCACCGTGGTGACATCACTGCCACTCAGTGGTTGTGTATTTGCATGCGTTGCGTGTTTCTATTTGAGTTTTTCATGGGAGTGTTTATATTTATGCGTGTGTGTGCGCGTCTCTACGTGTCTGCGTGCGTGCACGTGTCTGCGTGTCTGCGTGTGTCTGTGTGCGTGTCTCTGTGTGTGTGTGTCTGCGTGTCTGTGTGTGTGCATGTGTCTGCGTGTGTCTGTGTGCGTGTCTGCGTGTGTGTGCGTGTCTGTGTGTGTGTGTGCGTGTTTCTGTGTGTGTGTGTCTGCGTGCGTGTGCGTGCATGTGTCTGCGTGCGTGTGCGTGTCTGCGTGTGTCTGCGTGCGTGTGCGTGTCTGCGTGTGTGTGCGTGTCTGTGTGTGGTGTGCGTGTTTCTGTGTGTGTCTGCGTGCGTGTGCGTGCATGTGTCTGCGTGCGTGTGCGTGTCTGCGTGTGTCTGCGTGCGTGTGCGTGTCTGCGTGTGTGTGCGTGTCTGTGTGTGTGTGTGCGTGTTTCTGTGTGTGTCTGCGTGTCTGTGTGTGTGCATGTGTCTGCGTGTGTCTGTGTGCGTGTCTGCGTGTGTGTGCGTGTCTGTGTGTGTGTGTGCGTGTTTCTGTGTGTGTGTGTCTGCGTGCGTGTGCGTGCATGTGTCTGCGTGCGTGTGCGTGTCTGCGTGTGTCTGCGTGCGTGTGCGTGTCTGCGTGTGTGTGCGTGTCTGTGTGTGTGTGTGCGTGTTTCTGTGTGTGTCTGCGTGTCTGTGTGTGTGCATGTGTCTGCGTGTGTCTGCGTGCGTGTCTGCGTGTGTGTGTGTGCATGTGTCTGCGTGTGTCTGTGTGTGTGTCTGTGTGTGTGTGTCTGCGTGCGTGTGCGTGTCTATGTGTGTCTACGTGTGTCTGCGTGTACATCATGGGGGGAGCGGTTAGCGCTAAGTTGCCCTACGATCCAGGCGACCACCAACACCAGCGGGTGAAGATGAATTCTAATTATCCGAAGCGGTGCCGGGCCTCCCCTAGGTTGACTCGGCCTTAAAACGAACTACCCGCACGCGGCGCTGGCCACCCACCGCTGCTGCTGCTGCTCACAGCACTTGCCCCAAGTCTGTCGCAGGCTACACGGGGGAGCTTCGTCTTTGTGGACGCAGTCGGCGTAGAAACTAACAAAAAATTAAGGAAAGTTGCCGGGAAAAAGTGTTTTAATCCGCGAGCATTTCTTATTTATTTATTCGTGAATTTACAATTTTTGTACCAAGAAATTGAGAAGCGTAAACGGAGATTGTTTAAAAAAAAAATAATAATTTGTTTACTCGCGCGGCTGTGCGAGCCCTCCACCACCCGGCGGCGTCACAGCCAATCAACTCGGGGGGGGGGGCAACTGGACCCCCCCCAGAGTTGGATCGTACCAACTGAGGTCAGCACACAGGGGTGGAGGGGAGGCAACTAGACCCCCCCCCCCCCACCCTTCCAGACTTGGATCGTACCAACTGAGCCTCAGCACGGCGGGGGGGGCGACTGACCCCCCCCCCCCCCAGAGTTGGATCGTACCAACTGCCTCGGCACGGGGGGGGGGGGCGACTGAACCACCCCCCCCCAGAGTTGGATCGTACCAACTGCCTGGGCACGGGGGGGGGGGGCGACTGACCCCCCCCCCCCAGAGTTGGATCGTACCAACTGCCTGGGCACGGGGGGGGGGGGGCGACTGAACCACCCCCCCCCAGAGTTGGATCGTACCAACTGCCTGGGCACGGGGGGGGGGGGGGCGACTGAACCACCCCCCCCCAGAGTTGGATCGTACCAACTGCCTGGGCACGGGGGGGGGGGGCGACTGACACCCCCCCCCCAGAGTTGGATCGTACCAACTGCCTGGGCACGGGGGGGGGGCGACTGACACCCCCCCCCCCCAGAGTTGGATCGTACCAACTGCCTGGGCACGGGGGGCGGGGGGGGCGACTGACCCCCCCCCCCCCAGAGTTGGATCGTACCAACTGCCTGGGCACGGGGGGGGGGGCGACTGACACCCCCCCCCCCCCCCAGAGTTGGATCGTACCAACTGCCTGGGCACGGGGGGGGGGGCGACTGACACCCCCCCCCCAGAGTTGGATCGTACCAACTGCCTGGGCACGGGGGGGGGGCGACTGACACCCCCCCCCCCCAGAGTTGGATCGTACCAACTGCCTGGGCACGGGGGGGGGGGGGGCGACTGACCCCCCCCCCCCCAGAGTTGGATCGTACCAACTGCCTGGGCACGGGGGGGGGGGCGACTGACACCCCCCCCCCCCCCCAGAGTTGGATCGTACCAACTGCCTGGGCACGTGGGTGGGGGGGGGCGGGCAGACTCGTGCATCACGACAACAATAAAGTGACGTGTCACACGCAGTGGGCCGCGTTGTTCTTGGCGGTCCCCCTGGCCCCAGTGTCAGGGGACTCGCGGCGTCACCCACAGCGCCAATCACCCACGGTGTCACCCACGGCGTCACCCGCAGCATCACCCGCGGCGTCACCCACAGCGCCAATCACCCACGGCGTCACCCACGGTGTCACCCACGGCGTCACCCGCAGCATCACCCGCGGCGTCACCCACAGCGCCAATCACCCACGGCGTCACCCACGGTGTCACCCACGGCGTCACCCGCAGCATCACCCGCGGCGTCACCCACAGCGCCAATCACCCACGGCGTCACCCACAGCGTCACCCACCCACAGCGTCAATCACCCACAGCGTCACCCACAGCGTCAATCACCCACGGTGTCACCCACAGCGTCACCCACAGCGTCAATCACCCACAGTGTCACCCACAGCGTCACCCACAGCGTCAATCACCCACGGTGTCACCCACAGCGTCACCCGCAGCATCACCCGCGGCGTCACCCACAGCATCACCCACACAGTGTCAGGTGACTCACGCCATCACCGTCAGGGCCTGGTGGTGTCGTGCAGCAGCAGCAGCAGGCAGCTGCAGCTGCAGCAGGAGGCAGCAGCCCAGGGCGGTGATCAGCGTCAGGTGACCCACCGTGTCACCCACAGTGTCACCCACACAGTGTCAGGTGACTCACCGTGACACCCACAGTGTCAGGTGACCCATCGTGTCACCCACAGTGTCAGGTGACCCACCGTGCCACCCACAGTGTCAGGTGACCCACCGTGTCACCCACAGTGTCAGGTGACCCATCGTGTCACCCACAGCGTCAGGTGTCACCCACCTTGTCACCCACAGCGTCAGGTGACCCACGCCATCCCCCGTGATGTCAGGACACCCACGGCGTCAGGGCCTCGTGGTGTTGTCGTGCAGCAGCAGCTGCAGCAGCAGCAGCAGGAGGCAGCAGCTGCAGCAGCAGCAGGAGGCAGCAGCCCAGGGCGGTGATCAGCGTCAGGGCCAGCACAGCCGGCTCGTGGTCCAGGCTGCCCACGGGCACCGAGAGCGCCAGCGGGCTGCCCCCCCCCTCCTCCTGCTGCTCGCCAACAGAGGGGGGGCAGGGGCAGAGGGGCAGGGGGGCAGCGGCAGGAGGAGGCGGGGGGAGTGGGGAGGCGGTGGGGAGGGAGATCGTCAGCCATGTTCTATACACTGGTGGATAAAGTGGCTTATGAAGAGTTGGTGTCATCCCCAGTCATCACCGACTCTCGCAGAGACCCACAGACTCACACAGAGACCCATAGACTCACACAGAGACCCACAGACTCACACAGAGACCCACAGACTCACACAGAGACCCACAGACTCACACAGAGACCCACAGACTCACACAGAGACCCATAGACTCACACAGAGACCCACAGACTCACACAGAGACCCACAAATTCACAGACTCAGGCAGAGACCCACAGACTCACAGAGACCCACAGACCCACACAGACCCATAGACTCACACAGAGACCCATAGACTCGCACAGAGACCCACAGACTCACACAGAGACCCATAGACTCACACAGAGACCCACAGACTCACACAGAGACCCACAGACTCACACAGAGACCCGTAGACTCACACAGAGACCCACAGACTCATACAGAGACCCATAGACTCACGCAGAGACCCACAGACTCACACAGAGACCCACAGACTCACACAGAGACCCACAGAGACCCATAGACTCACGCAGAGACTCACAGACTCACACAGAGACCCACAGACTCACACAGAGACCCACAGACTCACACAGAGACCCATAGACTCACGCAGAGACTCACAGACTCACACAGAGACCCACAGACTCACACAGAGACCCACAGACTCACACAGAGACCCATAGACTCACGCAGAGACTCACAGACTCACACAGAGACCCACAGACTCACACAGAGACCCGTAGACTCACGATGATGTGTGTGACATCATCGTCATTACTAAGCTGTGTGACGTCATCGTCGTTATTAAGCTGTGACGTCATCGTCATCACTAAGCTGTGTGTGACATCATCGTCGTCACTAAGTTGTGTGTGACGTCATCGTCGGTACTAAGGTGTGTGACGTCATCGTCGTCACTAAGGTGTGTGTGACGTCATCGTCGTTACTAAGGTGTGTGACATCATCGTCGTCACTAAGCTGTGACATCATCTTTGTTACTAAGCTGTGTGTGTGACATCATCTTCGTCACTAAGCTGTGACATCATCTTTGTTACTAAGCTGTGTGTGTGACATCATCGTCATCACTAAGCTGTGTGTGTGACATCATCGTCGTGACTAAGCTGTATGACATCATCGTCGTGACTAAGCTGTGTGACATCATCGTCGTGACTAAGCTGTGTGTGTGACGTCATCGTGACTAAGCTGTGTGTGTGACGTCATCGTCGTGACTAAGCTGTGTGTGTGACATCATCGTCGTGACTAAGATGTATGACATCATCGTCGTGACTAAGCTGTGTGTGTGACGTCATCGTGACTAAGCTGTGTGTGTGACGTCATCGTCGTGACTAAGCTGTGTGTGTGACATCATCGTCGTGACTAAGATGTATGACGTCACCGTCGTGACTAAGCTGTGTGTGTGACGTCATCGTGACTAAGCTGTGTGTGTGACGTCATCGTCGTGACTAAGCTGTGTGTGTGACGTCATCGTCGTGACTAAGCTGTATGACGTCATCGTCGTGACTAAGCTGTGTGTGACGTCATCGTCTTGACTCAGCTGTGTGTGTGACGTCATCGTCGTGACTAAGCTGTATGACGTCATCGCCGTGACTAAGCTGTGTGTGACATCATCGTCGTGACTAAGCTGTATGACGTCATCGTCGTGACTAAGCGGTGCTCCACTCACGGTGACGATGGCGGCTCTCCTCCACCGGCAAACCGTTCGATTGGTGGCCGAGCAGGAGGCCTCGGTGACGTCACGCGGAGACGCCCCCTCGCACGGCCGCCCCGCTGGGGGGACGAGTGGGGGAGAGGGTGGGGGAGAGGGTGGGTGGGTGGGGGAGAGGGTGGGGGAGAGGGTGGGGGAGAGGGTGGGTGGGTGGGTGGGTGAGCGGGTGGGTGGGCGGGTGAGGTGAGCGGGTGGGTGAGCGGGTGGGTGAGCGGGTGGGTGAGCGGGTGGGTGGGCGGGTGGGTGGGCGGGTGGGTGGGTGGGCGGGTGAGCGGGTGGGTGGGTGAGCGAGCGGGTGGGCGAGCGGGTGGGTGGGTGGGGGAGCGAGTGGGTGGGTGGGTGAGCGGGTGGGTGGGCGGGTGGGTGGGCGGGTGGGCGGGTGGGCGGGTGGGTGGGTGGGTGGGCGGGTGGGGTGGGTGGGCGGGTGGGTGAGCGGGTGGGTGGGCGAGCGGGTGGGTGAGCGGGTGGGTGAGCGAGTGGGTGATGTAAGCGGGTGTGTGAACGAGCGGGTGGGTGGGTGGGCGAGCGGGTGGGTGGATATGGTGAGGGGGTGTGTGAGCGAGTGGGTGAACGGGTGGGTGAGCGGGTGGGTGAGCGGGTGGGTGAGCGGGTGAGGTGAGCGGGTGAGGTGAGCGGGTGGGTGAGCGAGCGGGTGGGTGGGCGAGCTGGTGGGGTGAGCGAGCAGGTGAGCGGGCGAGTGGGTGGGTGAGTTGAGTGGGTGGGCGAGCGAGCTGGTGGGTGATTGAACTGGTGGGTGAGCGAGCGAGCGAGTGGGTGAGCAAGTGGGCGGACGACTGGGCGAGCGAACGAGCGGACGAGCGAGCGGGCCTCACGGGAGTCGCACGGCAGCAGGACGAGGGGCCCGTCGATCAGCACGTGGGCGCGGGGCGGCCGCCTGAGCTGTGCGGGCGCGTGGTAGCGCAGGTGGACGGGCAGCGAGACGGTGGCCGTCCAGGTGGGTGCACCGGTGGTGCCGGCGTCGTCGTCACCGTCGTCGCCGGCGGCGATGAAGAGCAGGAGCCGGAGCGGAGCGGAGCGCGAGGCCGGAGCCTCCACGTCCACGCGGGACAGGAAGTCGGCCTGGAAGCGGCTCGCGAACTCCGACCCCGACAGTTCGTAGGGGTCGGCGTAGAGGCCGGCGGGGAGAGTCTCCCGCAGCAGCACCAGCTGCGGGGCCGGGCCCCGGCCCGAAACGACGGACACCAGCTCCCTGGGGGGGTGCGGTGGGTGGGGGGGGAGAGAGACGCGGGGACACACGCACTCATTCACACAAAGACAAAGCTCCCCCGTGTAGCCTCTTAACAGACTAAAGGGGCAAGTGCTGTTAGTAGCGAGTAGCAGCAGCACCTGTGAAGGTAGACACAGACAAAGATCCCCCGTGTAGCCTCTAACAGGCTGCTGGGGCAAGTGCTGTTAGTAGCGAGTAGCAGCAGCACCTATGGAGGTAGATACAGACAAAGATCCCCCGTGTAGCCTCTAACAGGCTGCTGGGGCAAGTGCTGTTAGTAGCGAGTAGCAGCAGCACCTATGGAGGTAGATACAGACAAAGATCCCCCGTGTAGCCTCTAACAGACTGTTGGGGCAAGTGCTGTTAGTAGCGAGCAGCACCTATGAAGGCTACCGGCGCTGTGGCACACGAGGGGGTGGGTGGCCAGCACCACGCCCGGCCGCCTTTGTCTCCCCAGTGGCTACACACAGCACAGGTAACTCGTTTGAGGCCGAGTCGACCTAGGGGAGGCCCGGGACCGGTTCAGATAATCGTCACCGGTGTTGGTGGCCGTTGAGTGGAGCGCGGCACGCTAACCGCGATACTACTACCACCATCTCCACCGCCTGTTGTAAGTCTGTGGGTCTCTGTGTGAATCTATAGGTCTCTGTGTGAGTCTGTGGGTCTCTGTGTGAGTCTGTGGGTCTCTGTGTGAGTCTGTGGGTCTCTGTGTGAGTCTGTGGGTCTCTGTGTGAATCTATGGGTCTCTGTGTGAGTCTGTGGGTCTCTGTGTGAGTCTGTGGGTCTCTGTGTGAGTCTGTGGGTCTCTGTGTGAATCTATGGGTCTCTGTGTGAGTCTGTGGGTCTCTGTGTGAGTCTGTGGGTCTCTGTGTGAGTCTGTGGGTCTCTGTGTGAATCTATGGGTCTCTGTGTGAGTCTGTGGGTCTCTGTGCGAGTCTGTGGGTCTCTGTGTGAGTCTGTGGGTCTCTGTGTGAGTCTATGGGTCTCTGTGTGAATCTATGGGTCTCTGTGTGAGTCTATGGGTCTCTTTGTGAGTCTGTGGGTCTCTGTGTGAGTCTGTGGGTCTCTGTGTGAGTCTGTGGGTCTCTGTGTGAGTCTATGGGTCTCTGTGTGAGTCTGTGGGTCTCTGTGTGAGTCTATGGGTCTCTGTGTGAGTCTGTGGGTCTCTGTGCGAGTCTGTGGGTCTCTGTGTGAGTCTGTGGGTCTCTGTGTGAATCTATGGGTCTCTGTGCGAGTCTGTGGGTCTCTGTGTGAATCTATGGGTCTCTGTGTGAGTCTGTGGGTCTCTGTGTGAATCTATGGGTCTCTGTGTGAGTCTGTGGGTCTCTGTGTGAGTCTATGGGTCTCTGTGTGAGTCTGTGGGTCTCTGTGTGAGTCTATGGGTCTCTGTGTGAGTCTGTGGGTCTCTGTGTGAGTCTATGGGTCTCTGTGTGAGTCTGTGGGTCTCTGTGCGAGTCTGTGGGTCTCTGTGTGAGTCTGTGGGTCTCTGTGTGAGTCTGTGGGTCTCTGTGTGAGTCTGTGGGTCTCTGTGTGAGTCTGTGGGTCTCTGTGTGAGTCTGTGGGTCTCTGTGTGAGTCTATGGGTCTCTGTGTGAGTCTGTGGGTCTCTGTGTGAGTCTGTGGGTCTCTGTGTGAGTCTGTGGGTCTCTGTGTGAATCTATGGGTCTCTGTGTGAGTCTGTGGGTCTCTGTGCGAGTCTGTGGGTCTCTGTGTGAGTCTGTGGGTCTCTGTGTGAGTCTGTGGGTCTCTGTGTGAGTCTGTGGGTCTCTGTGTGAGTCTGTGGGTCTCTGTGTGAGTCTGTGGGTCTCTGTGTGAGTCTGTGGGTCTCTGTGTGAGTCTGTGGGTCTCTGTGTGAATCTATGGGTCTCTGTGTGAGTCTGTGGGTCTCTGTGCGAGTCTGTGGGTCTCTGTGTGAGTCTGTGGGTCTCTGTGTGAGTCTGTGGGTCTCTGTGTGAGTCTGTGGGTCTCTGTGTGAGTCTGTGGGTCTCTGTGTGAGTCTGTGGGTCTCTGTGTGAGTCTGTGGGTCTCTGTGTGAGTCTGTGGGTCTCTGTGTGAGTCTATGGGTCTCTGTGTGAGTCTGTGGGTCTCTGTGTGAGTCTGTGGGTCTCTGTGTGAGTCTGTGGGTCTCTGTGTGAATCTATGGGTCTCTGTGTGAGTCTGTGGGTCTCTGTGTGAGTCTGTGGGTCTCTGTGCGAGTCTGTGGGTCTCTGTGTGAGTCTGTGGGTCTCTGTGTGAGTCTGTGGGTCTCTGTGTGAGTCTGTGGGTCTCTGTGTGAGTCTGTGGGTCTCTGTGTGAGTCTGTGGGTCTCTGTGTGAGTCTGTGGGTCTCTGTGTGAGTCTGTGGGGTCTCTGTGTGAGTCTATGGGTCTCTGTGTGAGTCTGTGGGTCTCTGTGTGAGTCTGTGGGTCTCTGTGTGAGTCTGTGGGTCTCTGTGTGAATCTATGGTCTCTGTGTGAGTCTGTGGGTCTCTGTGTGAGTCTATGGGTCTCTGTGTGAGTCTGTGGGTCTCTGTGTGAGTCTGTGGGTCTCTGTGTGAGTCTGTGGGTCTCTGTGTGAATCTATGGGTCTCTGTGTGAGTCTGTGGGTCTCTGTGTGAGTCTATGGGTCTCTCTGTGAGTCTATGGGTCTCTCTGTGAGTCTGTGGGTCTCTGTGTGAGTCTATGGGTCTCTCTGTGAGTCTATGGGTCTCTCTGTGAGTCTATGGGTCTCTGTGTGAGTCTATGGGTCTCTCTGTGAGTCTATGGGTCTCTGTGTGAGTCTGTGGGTCTCTGTGTGAGTCTATGGGTCTCTCTGTGAGTCTATGGGTCTCTCTGTGAGTCTATGGGTCTCTGTGTGAGTCTGTGGGTCTCTGTGTGAGTCTGTGGGTCTCTCTGTGAGTCTATGGGTCTCTATGTGAGTCTATGGGTCTCTATGTGAATCTATGGGGTCTCCGTGTGAATCTATAGGTCTCTGTGTGAGTCTATGGGGTCTCTGTGTGAATCTATGGGGTCTCTGTGTGAGTCTATGGGGTCTCTGTGTGAATCTATAGGTCTCTGTGTGAATCTATAGGTCTCTGTGTGGCACGATGGATCTGTATGTGAGTCTATGGGTCTCTCTGTGGGTCTATGGGTCTCTGTGTGAGTCTATGGGTCTTTATGTGGCACGATGGATCTCTGTGTGGCACGATGGATCTGTATGTGAGTCTATGGGTTTCTGTGTGAGTCTATGGGTCTCTATGTGAGTCTATGGGGTCTCTGTGTGAATCTATAGGTCTCTGTGTGAATCTATAGGTATCTGTGTGAATCTATAGGTCTCTGTGTGAATCTATGGGTCTCTGTGTGAGTCTACGGGTCTCTGTATGAGTCTACGGGTCTCTGTGTGAGTCTATGGGTCTCTGTGTGAGTCTATGGGTCTCTGTGTGAGTCTACGGGTCTCTGTGTGAGTCTATGTGGTCTCTATGTGAATCTATAGGTCTCTGTGTGGCACGATGGATCTGTGAGTCTATGGGTCTCTATGTGAGTCTATGGGTCTCTCTGTGAGTCTATGGGGTCTCTGTGTGAATCTATAGGTCTCTGTGTGAATCTATAGGTCTCTGTGTGAATCTATAGGTCTCTGTGTGAATCTATAGGTCTGTGTGTGTGTGAGAGTCAGGGCTTTGCGTTTCTGTGCCAGTCTACTGGATCTACGTTCGTTCACGGGGCTCCGGGCAGTGGCTAGGAGACGTCCTCTCCCCCACCCGGTGTGCAGGAGGTCGTGGGTTCACGGGGCTCCGGGCAGTGGCTAGGAGACGTCCTCTCCCCCGCCCGGTGTGCAGGAGGTCGTGGGTTCACGGGGCTCCGGGCAGTGGCTAGGAGACGTCCTCTCCCCCGCCCGGTGTGCAGGAGGTCGTGGGTTCACTCACCGATGGAAGCCCGACTTGAGAACTCTCCTTGTCACCTGCACAAGCCCAGTCTCCTCCGAGTCACCTACGCACGGCGAGCCAGCGACAGAGCGCTTGAGTCAAGCGTCCTGGGTATGGCTCAATGGGGAGCTCTCGCCCGGTTGTTCCGAGTGAACGTGTCTTCAATCAAATAAACCTCTTAAGCCTCACCTTACCATATGAATAAAAAGTGTGCTGTACTTGGCCCTTCCCCCCTCTCCAACCATTATATAAACGGAGTGGTAGCTCTTGTAATCTCTCATTCACTTGATACAGCTGTCGTGGCTGTGACGGTTCCACCTGAAGACGGAAGCTTGTGTTGCCTCCGAAACATCGTGAATTTTATTTTACTTTTATTAATTTTAATGTTTTTACCTACGTGACTTCACAGAAAAAACCTAAGAATATGAATACAAATAAACCGCCTAAAGAAAGTCGTCATTACACCAGTACAGCAACACCGGTGTGTTGGAGGGCAAATCCACAACATTACCAATCTTCTTGGTTCTTTCGGTAAAGTCATCACGTAGAAGGGAAGTAATAAATTAATAAAAATACAACAAAATACAATTCTCACGACGTTTCGGCCACAACGCAAGCAGCCGTCCTCAGGTGGAGACCAGGTCTGTCGGGGAGACAGTCTGAATGAGCACCGCCAAGCTTGGCAGCGTATATTTAATGGATTCTTTCTCAGCAATCATTGGAAGAAATAAATTATATTTCGATTTAAAGCTTCTTTCGTGACTGCAGCAGGAATTCATCTTCTTGGTTCGTTCGGTAAAGTCACGTAGAAGGGAAGTAATAAATTAATAAAAATACAACAAAATACAATTCTCACGACGTTTCGGCCACAACGCAAGCAGCCGTCCTCAGGTGGCGAGCAGGTCTGTCGGGGAGACCGCGTCTGACTCGGGGTGCAAGAGAGTTTGCGAGCCCTTCCCTCCCTCACCTGCAGTGGCCGTCACCACCACCAGCAGCAGCAGGACGGCTCCCAACATCAGCGCCATCACCAACGCCGCCACACCAACATCACCACCATCACCAACGCGTCTTGTGGTTGTGGTTGTTGTTGACGCAGCGTTGGTGTACGGTGCTTTTTCTGCAATATTTTGCGGTCTTTTCCTGGATCCTGCTGTTTGCACACAGTCACATAGTCACTTTAAGATGTTTTCTTGTTCATGTTTTAGTTTGTTGCGGTTGCACCCGAGTCAAGAGCCGAACGTCTCACAGGGATATACCTCCTAATACATGAAACTGAAAACTGAAACCACCATCACCACATCACCAACATCACCACATCACCAACGCGCCCACATCAACATCACCAACATCACCACATCACCAAACATCACCACATTACCAACGCACCCACATCACCACCACCAACGCACCCCCATCACCACCACATCACCAACATCACCACCATCACCAACGCGCCCACATCAACATCACCACCATCACCACCATCACCACATCACCACCATCACCACATCACCAACGCACCCGCACCAACATCACCAACATCATCAACGCACCCACATCAACATCACCACCATCACCAACGCGCCCACATCAACATCACCACCATCACCAACGCGCCCACATCAACATCACCACCATCACCAACGCGCCCACATCAACATCACCACCATCACCAACGCGCCCACATCAACATCACCACCATCATCAACGCACCCACATCAACATCACCACCATCACCAACGCGCCCACATCAACATCACCAACGCACCCACATCAACATCACCAACATCATCAACGCACCCACATCAACATCACCACCATCACCAACGCGCCCACATCAACATCACCAACATCATCAACGCACCCACATCAACATCACCAACATCATCAACGCACCCGCATCAACATCACCAACATCATCAACGCACCCGCACCAACATCACCAACATCATCAACGCACCCACATCAACATCACCACCATCACCACATCACCAACGCGCCCACATCAACATCACCAACATCATCAACGCACCCGCACCAACATCACCAACATCATCACATCACCAACGCACCACCACCACCATCACCAATATCACCACATCACCAACGCACCCACATCACCACCATCACCACCATCACCAACATCACCACATCACCAACGCGCCCACATCAACATCACCAACATCATCAACGCACCCGCACCAACATCATCACATCACCACATCACCAACGCACCACCACCACCATCACCAACATCACCACATCACCAACGCACCCACATCACCACCATCACCAACATCACCACATCACCAACGCGCCCACATCAACATCACCAACATCATCAACGCACCCGCACCAACATCACCAACATCATCACATCACCACATCACCAACGCACCACCATCACCAACATCACCACATCACCAACGCACCCACATCACCACCATCACCAACGCGCCGTCTACCCCTAACTAAGATGGCGACGCGGCCACCTCACCCCCCTTACTTCCCGTTTAGTCACTTTTGGTCGTCACTAACTGCCCTCAGGGCAGCTTTCCTGGTTCGCATGCGAAGTTTATCAAGACGAATCTGCCTCGGGGGCATTATTTGATAGCGAAGCTGGAACCGCGCGCGCGTGCTGCCTTAGCCGTGACGTCACCCGATGAAACCGACGCTGTGACGTCATCCGGATGCGTTCCTCGGCAACGGCTGAACGCGCTGACGTCATATCGCAAAATGAGGTTTTTTTTCAAACGCCATGTGACGTCACGCGCAATAGCTTGGACGCGATGACGTCATCGGGACCTATCAAACGTGGTGACGTCACCTGACATCCGGACCGTGACAACGTATTTGGGACATTCTCAAACGCGATGACGTTGCCCGATTATGACGTCATCGCGTTCAAGCGATTCTGGTGAGACGAGCCTACGTCACGTCCCCTGCACGATTAAACGTAATGACGTCACGTAACCGGTGTATCACTTTGCTTGGTGCGCGATGACGTCGTTTATAAATGTTCGCTGCTCGTTTGTTAATGCGTCATGTCGCACCAAACCGTTGCAGGCGCGGGCGTCGTGATGATTATTATCATCACGACTGCAGCTGCTGCAGCTACTGCTGCTGTAGCTGCTTCTACTGCTGCTGCTGTTGTAGCTGCGGCTTTTGCTGCTGCGGCTGCTTCTGTTTCTACTGCTGCTGTAGCTGTTTCTACTGCTGCTTCTGCTGCTGCTGCTTCTGCTGCTGCAGCTACTGCTGCTGCTGCTGCTTCTACTGCTGCTGCAGCTACTACTGCTGCAGCTACTGCTTCTGCTTCTACAGCTGCTGCTGCTGTAGCTGCCCGCTTCTGCTGCTGCGGCTGCTTCTGTTTCTACTGCTTCTGCTGCTGCTGCTTCTGCTGCTGCAGCTACTGCTGCTGCTGCTGCTTCTACTGCTGCTGCAGCTACTACTGCTGCAGCTACTGCTTCTGCTTCTACTGCTGCTGCTGCTGTAGCTACTGCTTCTGTTTCTACTGCTGTAGCTGCTGCTACTACTGCTGTTGCTGCTGCTTCTGCTGCTGCTTATTCTGCTGCTTCTGCTGCTGCTGCTTCTGCTGTAGCTGCTGCTGCTTCTGCTGCTTCTGCTGTAGCTGCTGCTGCTTCTGCTGCTGCTGCTGCTACTGCTGCTGCTTCTGCTGCTTCTGCTGCTGCTGCTTCTGCTGTAGCTGCTGCTGCTTCTGCTGCTTCTGCTGTAGCTGCTGCTGCTTCTGCTGATGCTGCTACTTCTGCTGCTTCTGCTACTACTGCTGCGGCTGCTTTAATGACGGCACTCCCCATGCGGCTGATGAGGAGGATGCCATGGTGACGTCATGACCACTCGCCACGCGGTGACGTCACGACCACCACCTCTCCCCCCATGCTACGCTCTGCGCGATGACGTCACGACCACCCCCCCACACACACGCGCTGCGCGGTGACGTCACGACCCCCCCACACACACACGCGCTGCGCGGTGACGTCACGACCACCCCCCCCCACACACACGCGCTGCGCGGTGACGTCACGACCACCCCCCCCACACACACGCGCTGCGCGGTGACGTCACGACCACCCCCCCACACACACGCGCTGCGCGGTGACGTCACGACCCCCCCCACACACACGCGCTGCGCGGTGACGTCACGACCACCCCCCCCACACACACGCGCTGCGCGGTGACGTCACGACCACCCCCCCCCACACACACGCGCTGCGCGGTGACGTCACGACCACCCCCCCCACACACACGCGCTGCGCGGTGACGTCACGACCACCCCCCCCACACACACACGCGCTGCGCGGTGACGTCACGACCACCCACCCCACACACACGCGCTGCGCGGTGACGTCACGACCACCCCCCCCACACACACGCGCTGCGCGGTGACGTCACGACCACCCACCCCACACACACGCGCTGCGCGGTGACGTCACCACGTCAATCCGGGATGGAGTCACGGGAAGAAGCGGTCTGAGGTTCCCAGGTGCCGCTCCCCTTCTCCACCCTCCCTCGTGTCTCTCTCGCTTCTCCCTTGCTCCTGCATTGCTTCTTCCTTGCTTCTTCCTTGCTTCTTCCTCGCTGCTGCCTTCTCTCTGCCTCGTGTCTCGCTCGCTTCTCGCTTGCTCCCGCATTGCTTCTCCCTTGCTCCTGCCTTGCTCCTGCCTTGCTTCTCCCTTGCTCCCGCATTGCTTCTCCCTTGCTTCTCCCTTGCTCCTGCCTTGCTTCTTCCTCGCTGCTGCCTTCTCTCTGCCTCGTGTCTCTCTCGCTTCTCCCTTGCTCCTGCCTTGCTTCTCCCTTGCTTCTCCCTTGCTTCTCCCTTGCTCCTGCCTTGCTTCTCCCTTGCTTCTCCCTCGCTTCTCCCTTGCTCCTGCCTTGCTTCTCCCTTGCTTCTCCCTCGCTTCTCCCTTGCTTCTCCCTCGCTTCTCCTTTGCTTCTCCCTCGCTTCTCCCTTGCTCCTGCCTTGCTTCTCCCTTGCTTCTCCCTCGCTTCTCCCTTGCTTCTCCCTCGCTTCTCCTTTGCTCCTGCCTTGCTTCTCCCTCGCTTCTCCCTTGCTCCTGCCTTGCTTCTCCCTCGCTTCTCCCTTGCTTCTCCCTTGCTTCTCCCTTGCTTCTCCCTTGCTTCTCCCTTGCTCCTGCCTTGCTTCTCCCTTGCTTCTCCCTTGCTTCTCCCTTGCTGCTGCTGCTACAACGCCACCGCTGCCGCCGCTGCTGCTGCTTTCCCGACGCTTCTCGCGACTGCTGCGATGTGACGCGGGTGGCTGCTGCTGGAGCATGTTGGTGCTGCTGATGATGATGATACTGCTGATGATGATGCTGCTGCTGATGATACTGCTGATGATGATGCTGCTGATGATGATGCTGCTGCTGATGATGATGCTGCTGATAAGGATGATGATGATGCTGGTGATGATGCTGCTGCTGATGATGATGTTGCTGCTGATGATTATGCTGATGTTGCTGCTGATGATGATGCTGATGATGTTGCTGCTGCTGATGATGCTGATGCTGCTGCTGATGATGCTGATGCTGCTGATGATGATGCTGATGATGCTGCTGATGATGATGATACTGATGATGATGATGCTGATGCTGCTGGTGATGATGCTGCTAATGCTGATGATGATGATGATGCTGCTGCTGCTGATGATGCTGCTGCTGGTGATGATGCTGCTGATGATGATGCTGGAGCTGATCGTGATGATGATGATGATGCTGCTGATGATGTTTACAGAAACACACAGAACCCATAGACTCACATAGAGACCCATAGACTCAGAGACCCACATACTCACACAGAGACCCACAGACTCACACAGAGACCCACAGACTCACACAAAGACCCATAGACTCAAAAGAGACCCACAGACTCACGCAGACACCCACAGACACACACAGAGACTCACAGAGTCACACAGAGAGCCATATACTCACACAGAGACCCATAGACTCACACAGAGACCCACAGACTCACACAGAGACCCACAGACTCGCACAGAGACCCATAGACTCACACAGAGACCCACATACTCACACAGAGACCACAGACTCACACAGAGACCCACAGACTCACACAGAGACCCATAGACTCAAAAGAGACCCACAGACTCACGCAGACACCCACAGACACACACAGAGACCCACAGACTCACACAGAAACCCACAGACTCACGCAGAGACCCATAGACTCACACAGAGACCCACAGACTCGCACAGAGACCCATAGACTCACATAGAGACCCACAGACTCGCACAGAGACCCATAGACTCACACAGAGACCCACAGACTCGCACAGAGACCCATAGACTCACACAGAGACCCACAGACTCACACAGAGACCCACAGACTCGCACAGAGACCCATCGACTCACACAGAGACCCACAGACTCACACAGAGACCCACAGACTCACACAAAGACCCATAGACTCAAAAGAGACCCACAGACTCACGCAGACACCCACAGACACACACAGAGACCCACAGACTCGCACAGAGACCCATAGACTCACACAGAGACCCACATACTCACACAGAGACCCACAGACTCACACAGAGACCCACAGACTCACACAGAGACCCATAGACTCAAAAGAGACCCACAGACTCACGCAGACACCCACAGACACACACAGAGACCCACAGACTCACACAAAGACCCACAGACTCACGCAGAGACCCATAGACTCACACAGACCCACAGACTCGCACAGAGACCCATCGACTCACACAAAGACCCACAGACTCACGCAGAGACCCATAGACTCACACAGAGACCCACAGACTCGCACAGAGACCCATCGACTCACACAGAGACCCACAGACTCACACAGAGACCCACAGCCTCACACAGAGACACACAGACTCACACAAAGACCCACAGACTCACGCAGAGACCCACAGACTCACACAGAGACCCACAGACTCGCACAGAGACCCATCGACTCACACAGAGACCCACAGACTCACACAGAGACCCACATACTCACACAGAGACCCACAGCCTCACACAGAGACACACATACTCACACAAAGACCCATAGCCTCACACAGAGACCCACAGACTCACGCAGAGACCCACAGACTCACACAGAGACCCACAGACTCACACAGAGACCCACAGACTCACACAGAGACCCACAGACTCACACAGAGACCCATAGACTCACACAGAGACCCATAGACTCAAAAGAGACCCACAGACTCACGCAGACACCCACAGACACACACAGAGACCCACAGACTCACACAAAGACCCACAGACTCACGCAGAGACCCATAGACTCACACAGAGACCCACAGACTCGCACAGAGACCCATAGACTCACATAGAGACCCACAGACTCGCACAGAGACCCATAGACTCACACAGAGACCCACAGACTCGCACAGAGACCCATAGACTCACACAGAGACCCACAGACTCACACAGAGACCCACAGACTCGCACAGAGACCCATCGACTCACACAGAGACCCACAGACTCACACAGAGACCCACAGACTCACACAAAGACCCATAGACTCAAAAGAGACCCACAGACTCACGCAGACACCCACAGACACACACAGAGACCCACAGACTCGCACAGAGACCCATAGACTCACACAGAGACCCACATACTCACACAGAGACCCACAGACTCACACAGAGACCCACAGACTCACACAGAGACCCATAGACTCAAAAGAGACCCACAGACTCACGCAGACACCCACAGACACACACAGAGACCCACAGACTCACACAAAGACCCACAGACTCACGCAGAGACCCATAGACTCACACAGACCCACAGACTCGCACAGAGACCCATAGACTCACACAGAGACCCACAGACTCACACAGAGATCCACAGACTCGCACAGAGACCCATCGACTCACACAGAGACCCACAGACTCACACAGAGACCCACAGCCTCACACAGAGACACACAGACTCACACAAAGACCCACAGACTCACGCAGAGACCCATAGACTCACACAGAGACCCACAGACTCGCACAGAGACCCATAGACTCACACAGAGACCCACAGAGTCGCACAGAGACCCATAGACTCACACAGAGACCCACAGGCTCGCACAGAGACCCATAGACTCACACAGAGACCCACAGACTCGCACAGAGACCCATAGACTCACACAGAGACCCACAGACTCGCACAGAGACCCATAGACTCACACAGAGACCCACAGACTCACACAGAGACCCACAGACTCGCACAGAGACCCATCGACTCACACAGAGACCCACAGACTCACACAGAGACCCACATACTCACACAGAGACCCACAGCCTCACACAGAGACACACATACTCACACAAAGACCCATAGCCTCACACAGAGACCCACAGACTCACGCAGAGACCCACAGACTCACACAGAGACCCACAGACTCACACAGAGACCCACAGACTCACACAGAGACCCACAGACTCACACAGAGACCCATAGACTCACACAGAGACCCATAGACTCACACAGAGACCCACAGACTCACAAAGAGACCCACAGACTCACACAGACACCCACAGACTCACACAGAGACCCACAGACCCACACAGAGACCCACAGACTCACACAGAGACCCATAGACTCACACAGAGACCCATATACTCACACAGAGACCCACAGACTCACACAGAGACCCACAGACTCACACAGAGACCCACAGACTCACACAGAGACCCACAGACTCACACAGAGACCCACAGACTCACACAGAGACCCATCGACTCACACAGAGACCCATAGACTCACACAGAGACCCACAGACTCACACAGAGACCCATAGACTCACACAGAGACCCACAGACTCACACAGAGACCCACAGACTCGCACAGAGACCCATCGACTCACACAGAGACCCATAGACTCACACAGAGACCCACAGACTCACACAGAGACCCATAGACTCACACAGAGACCCATAGACTCACACAGAGACCCACAGACTCACACAGAGACCCATAGACTCACACAGAGACCCATAGACTCACACAGAGACTTATAGACTTACACAGAGACCTGTAGACTCACACAGAGACCCACAGACTCACACAGAGACCCACAGACTCACACAGAGACCCACAGACTCACACAGAGACCCATAGACTCAAAAGAGACCCACAGACTCACGCAGACACCCACAGACTCACACAGAGACCCACAGACTCACACAGAGACCCACAGACTCACACAGGAATCGGTGTCTTCGTGTCTCCCCAGGTCTCCGTGGTGTCTCGGTTGTGTGGCTCTGAGAGACTCCGACCGACACTCAGTGCAGTGAAGGTCTCCATCACTCACTCATTAAATCAGTCATTCACTCACTCACTCATTCACTCACTCCTTCACTCACTCCCTCACTCACTCCCTCACTCATTCACTCACTTTTTCACTCACTCATTCCCTCACTCACTTCCTCACTCACGCATCCACTCATTCACTCACTCATTCACTCACTCTTTCACTCACTTACTCACTCATTCACTCACTCACTACCTCACTCACTCATTCACGCACTCATTCATTCACTCACTCACTTCCAGGTCTCCACTCTCACGACCCCCCCACTGTCTCCGACACGGCCATCATGAACCTCCAGGGAGAGAGAGACCCACACCTGGGGATTGAACCCAGACTCCAGTGTCCCTGACACGGCCATCATGAACCCCCTGAGAGAGAGAGACCCACACCTAGGGCTAGAACCCAGGCTCTCAGTGTCTCTGACACGGCCATCATGAACCCCCTGAGAGAGAGACCCACACCTAGGGCTAGAACCCAGGCTCTCAGTGTCTCTGACATGGCCATCATGAACCCCCTGAGAGAGAGAGACCCACACCTGGGGATTGAACCCAGACTCCAGTGTCCCTGACACGGCCATCATGAACCCCCTGAGAGAGAGAGAGACCCACACTAAGGAATTGAACCCAGGCTCTCAGTGTCTCTGACACGGCCATCATGAACCTCCAGGGAGAGAGAGACCCACACCTGGGGATTGAACCCAGACTCCAGTGTCCCTGACACGGCCATCATGAACCCCCTGAGAGAGAGACCCACACCTAGGGCTAGAACCCAGGCTCTCAGTGTCTCTGACACGGCCATTATGAACCCCCTGAGAGAGAGAGAGAGACCCACACTAAGGAATTGAACCCAGGCTCTCAGTGTCTCTGACACGGCCATCATGAACCTCCAGGGAGAGAGAGACCCACACCTGGGGATTGAACCCAGACTCCAGTGTCCCTGACACGGCCATCATGAACCCCCTGAGAGAGAGACCCACACCTAGGGCTAGAACCCAGGCTCTCAGTGTCTCTGACACGGCCATTATGAACCCCCTGAGAGAGAGAGAGAGACCCACACTAAGGAATTGAACCCAGACTCTCAGTGTCTTTGACACGGCCATTGTGAACCCCCTGAGAGAGAGAGACCCACACCTAGGGATTGAACCCAGATGAGGAGTCATGTTTGCGTAGACCACAATACCTGCAGTCATAATGCAAACAAAAAAAGGTGTCAGTTTTGTTGCCAGATAGAAAGGTAAAAAAACAATTATCATATTTTTTACTGGCAAATGAGGTTCCAATGGTGAACTTCAACATAGTTGAGTTTCATCGGCAAGTCTCTCTCTCCGCCCCCCCTCTCCTCTCTCTCCCAGGTCTCGCCCCACCGCCCCCCCCCCCCCCCGCACCGCCCCATGGGGGGGCACGGGACAGACCCAGGTGGCATGGGTTGCCTGACTGAAACCACAAATAAAACTCTCAAAGAACTTCAACATATTTAGTTTCATAGTCCACCTCTCTCTCTCTGCCCCCCTCTCCTCTTTCTCCCAGGTCTTGCCCCCACCCCCGTCCCATGGGCTGCCCGCTAGCGATGGGGGGCGCGGGGCAGACCCAGGTGGCATGGGATGGGTTGCCCGACTGAAACCACAAATGAACCTTGCGTTGTGGCCGAAACGTCGTGAGAATAATTTTATTATATCTTATTTTTATTATTTTATTATCTCCATTCTACGTGACTTTACTGAAAGAACCAAGAAGATGAATCCCTGCAGTCACGAAATCTTTTAAATCGACACAAATGAACCGTCAAAGAACTTCAACATAGTTTAGTTTCATCGGCAAGTCTCTCTCTCTCTCTGCCCCCCCTCTCCTCTCTCTGCCCCCCCTCTCCTCTCTCTCCCAGGTCTCGCCTCACCCCCCCACCGCCCCATGGGCTGCCCGCGAGCGATGGGGGGCGCGGGCCGGCTGCCCCCGCGCGTCCTCGAGCTCATCCTGTCGTTCGTGGAGCTGGCCGACCTGGGCCGCTGTGCGCGCGTGTGCCGCCACTGGCAGCGCTGCCTGGAGGACGAGGGCAGCGAGGTGTGGCGGGCAGCCTGCGCACGCCTGCTGCCCCACGACGCGCTGCAGGGGGACCTCCTGCGGGCAGTGCCCACCTACAAAGCCAAGGTGGGGGGGGGGGGCGGCCACAGGACCACACCACACACATCACACACACACATTACACACACACATTACACACACACACACATTCCACACACATCACACACACCACACACACACACACACCACACGCATCACACACACACATCACACACACACATTACACACACATCACACACACCACACACACACACACATCACACACACACATCACACACACACATCACACACACGCACCACACACACGCACCACACACACGCATCACACACACACCACACACACACATTACACACACATTACACACACACATCACACACACATCACACACCACACGCACGCATCACACACACACATCACACACACGCACCACACACACGCATCACACACACACATCACACACACACATCACACACACGCATCACACACACACATCACACACACACATCACACACACACACATTACACACACACACATCCCACACACATCACACACACCACACACACACACACACCACACGCATCACACCACACGCACCACACACACGCATCACACACACGCATCACACACACGCATCACACACACACATCACACACACATCACACACACACATCACACACACATCACACACACCACACACACACACACACCACACGCATCACACACACGCACCACACACACGCATCACACACACACCACACACACACATTACACACACATCACACACACCACACACATCACACACACACATCACACACACACATTACACACACATCACACACACCACACACACACATCACACACACACATTACACACACACACATCACACACACACATCACACACACACATCCCACACACATCACACACCACACGCATCACACACACACATCACACACACCACACACACCACACACACACACACCACACGCATCACACACACACATCACACACACACATCACACACACACATTACACACACACACACATCCCACACACATCACACACACACATCACACACACGCATCACACACACACCACACACATCACACACACACACATTACACACACACACATCCCACACACATCACACACACCACACACACACACACACCACACGCATCACACCACACGCACCACACACACGCATCACACACACGCATCACACACACGCATCACACACATCACACACACACATCACACACATCACACACACCACACACACACACACCACACACATCACACACATCACACACACACACATCACACATCACACACATCACACACACATCCCACACACATCACACACACATCACACACACATCCCACACACATCACACACACATCCCACACACATCACACACACATCACACACACATCACACACACATCACACACACACATCACACACATCACACACATCACACACACATCAAACACATCACACACACACACACATCACACACACATCACACACACATCACACACACGCATACACGTACCCAAACGTGTACCCACACACATGCCCACACCACTCACCTGCATGCCCACTCACCTATCCACCCACTCACCCACCCACTCACCCACTCACCCACCCACTCACCCACCCATCCACTCACCCACCCTCTCGCTCACCCATCCACTGACTTACTCACTCACCCACCCACCCACCCACTCACCCACCCACTCACCCACCCACCCACTCACTCACTCACTCACCCACCCACCCACCCTCTCACTCACCCACCACACCAACCCACCCACTCACCCACCCACTCACCCACCCATTCACCCACCCACCCACTGACTTACTCACCCACCACACCACTCACCCACTCACTACCACACTCACCCCCACCCACACACCCACTCACCCACCACACCCACTCACCCACTCACCCACCACACTCACCACTCACCCACCACACCTACTCACCCACTCACCAACACACCCACTCACCAACACACCCACTCACTCACCCACCCACTCACTCACCCACCACACTCACCCACCACACTCACCCACTCACCACACCCACCACACTCACCCACCACACTCACCCACCACAGTCACCCACCACACTCACCCACCACACTCACCCACCCACTCACCCCCACTCACCACACCCACCACACTCACCCGCACCCACACACCCACTCACCCACCACCCCCACTCACCCCCACTCACCACACCCACCACCCCCACCACACCCACTCACCCCCATTCACCCACTCACCTACTCACCCCCACTCACCCACCACACTCACCACACCTCACCACACCTCACCACCACACCCACTCACCGCCGCACCACCCCGCGCCCACTCACCACACCCACTCACCCCCACCACACTCACCCACACACCCACTCACCCCCACACCCCCACACACCCACTCACCCACTCACCCACCACACTCACCACACCACACACCCACTCACCACCGCCGCACCACCCCGCGCCCGCAGGTGCGCTCGCTGTGCCACGCGTGGAACCCCGACGACTGCTCCCGCAACGTCTTCATCAAGCGCAGCGGCTTCACGCTGCACCGCAACCCGGTGGCTCAGAGCACGGACGGCGCGCGGGCCCGCCTCGGCTTCACGGAGGGCCGCCACGCCTGGGAGGTGTGGTGGGAGGGGCCCCTGGGCACGGTGGCCGTGGTGGGCGTGGCGACGCGCCGCGCCCCCATGCAGTGCCAGGGCTACGTGGCCCTGCTGGGATCCGACGTGGAGAGCTGGGGCTGGAACCTGGTGGACAACAGCCTCCTGCACGGCGGGGAGGTCACCGGGAGCTTCCCGCAGTGCAACAACGCGCCCAAGTACCAGGTGCGGTGGCGTGGTGGTGACGGTGGTGGTGGTGGTGGTGACTGGGGTGGTGGTGGTGGTGGTGGTGGTGACGGTGGTGGTGGTGGTGGTGGTGGTGACTGGGGTGGTGGTGGTGGTGGTGGAGGTCACGGGGAGCTTCCCGCAGTGCAACAACGCGCCCAAGTACCAGGTGCGGGGCGTGGTGGTGGCGGTGGTGGTGGCGTGATGGTGGAGGTGGTGGAGGTGGTGTTGGTGGAGGTGGTGGTGGTGGTGACGGTGGTGGGGGTGACGGTGGAGGTGGTGGAGGGGGTGGTGGTGGTGGTGGAGGTAACGGTGGTGGTGGTGATGGTGGTGGTGGTGACGGTGGTGGTGGTGACGGTGGTGACGGTGTTGGTGTTGCCGCTGGCGCTGATGACGTGTCCCCGCGTGCAAACGTCCAAGCACACACACACACAAACCCGCATACACACACGCACACACACACGCACACAAACCCGCATACACACACACACACACAAACCCGCATACACACACAAACCCGCATACACACACACACACACGTACACACACAAACCCGCATACACACACGCACACACACACACAAACCCGCATACACACACACACACACGTACACACACAAACCCGCATACACACACGCACACACACACAAACCCGCATACACACACAAACCCGCATACACACACGCACACACACACACACACAAACCCGCATACACACACAAACCCGCATACACACACACACACGTACACACACAAACCCGCATACACACACACACACGTACACACACAAACCTGCATACACACACGCACACACACACACACACAAACCCGCATACACACACAAACCCGCATACATACACGCACACACACACACACAAACCCGCATACAGACACGCACACGCACACACACGCACACACACAAACCCGCATACACACACGCACACACACACGCACACACACACACACAAACCCACATACACACACACACACACACGCATACACACACGCATACACACACGCACACACACACACACAAACCCGCATACACACACGCACACGCACACACACGCATACGCACACACACACACACGCACACACACAAACCCGCATGCACACACGCACACAAACACACGCACACACACGCACACACACGCACACACGCCACCAATACCAACACCGATTTTCCCGCTGCACCACCGCCACCGCCGTTCAGATTGGCGAGCGCATGCGCGTGCTGCTGGACATGGAGGAGCGCACGCTGGCGTTTGAACGTGGCCACGAGTTCCTGGGCGTGGCGTTCCGCGCGCTGCCCAAGGCGCGTCTCTTCCCCGCCGTGTCGGCCGTCTACGGCAACACCGAAGTCTCCATG